GTCGTGCTTACGTAGAAAAAGCCGCACTTTTCTCAGCAATCTCGTACGGAATATCGTCTTTAATCTTTCAAACGATTAGAGAATGTCGATAGGTACTCGCTCGCCAATTAGTTTTGCCGAGGCAAGCGACACGTTCGCAGGCGATGACTCTGCGGGATTTTTGATCGAGCACTCGCTCGTTTGATTTATCATGACTAATACTCATTTCTACCGATGTAGATCAACTTTAATCTCAAGTTAATTTACTCTTTTTCTAATTCTTAGAACTAGAACAAGGTAAAAAGTAAGGCAAGAAAAACCAAGATTAAAATTCTTTATTTTTTTTTTAATTCTTAGAACGAGAAGAAAATAAAGAGTTAGTTAAACTAAGATTGAAGTTAATCTACATTGACATAGAAATGGACGTAAGTGTCCTTAGAGTAACAACAAAATTATTTTCAATTCTATACGTAGCAAAATTTTAGATCTTTCAGCAAATTGTTCTTTCCGTGTACATTTGTATGCCATTTTAAGGGACTTTGGTTGAGATGTCCAGGCTGTGCATTCTAAACACTAATCGTGCGATGAGAGGTGATAATCATGACTGCGTTCAGCAGACTCAACAGTTGTAACTGATATCAATGTATTCTTTTTAGATTATCCAATCGGACGTTTAGAATACATTAATCTATAGGAATACATCAATAACAGCGAATGCTCACTCAACTGTTGAGTCTGCTGAACGCAGCTCATGATAGAAGGGAGCGTCTTCGCGTCGTGGATCGATGACGTAATTAGCCGGTATTTGGTTATCGATTCACGTGATATATGTACATGAATCTTCCTATCTGATTATGGGAAATATTAAATACATTCTCGAGGCGTGGTCCCCGCCGTCGACTAACGCTCGTTAATCTCATACGGATTAAACTTGTTTTATAGAATATTTATTATATAAAGTTTTCTATTTATAACCTGGGGCGTGCCGTCTGATGACCGAGTGCGAGTGCACACGTACGGTGTGTCCAAGAAGCGCGGGTTAAAATTAAACTAAAAAACCTAATTTCGCGGTATTGGACGTAACTTCCGATATTGTATAACTTTTCTCCGTTCAAACAAAGTTTTAACGATCTTCGTGGGCTTTTTCTACAATATAAGTCATTACCTTCAAATTTACGTTGAAAATTTAAAGGGTATATTCTCAAACACTTTTTTGCTGCAATTTACAAAATTCAAATATTTACCGAAGAATTGAGTTTAATGAATTTTCTACAATAAGCCATTATCTAACCTAAATTTTTTAAGCTAAAAAATTGATCAAACAGTTTAATGTGAGAAAAATAATCGAATTCGATTTCTTACGGTTTAAGACTTAAACTTAGGTAATAGCTTATCTTGTATATAAAGTCCAATTAAACCCAATTCTTCGGCAAATATTCGAATATATTTTATAAATTGTAGCGAAAAGGTGTTTGAGAATATACCCTTTAAATTTTAAATGTAAATTTATACATTATATTTGAAATAGCTAGAAACCAATTATTCCTCTTTTAAATTTTATATTATTCCGGTCGTTTTGAGATAATTTTCTTTCATCGAAACTCGACGTACTTACTGGAATACCGTATCGCCGCGGTTCGCACGATCGAATTCGTTCGGCTTGGTGGCGGCGACGGGTTAAACGATCGTCGGGGTTACGTAAAGGCGCATTTTGCTGGCGCCTGCTCGTTCGCTTCCTCTCTCGTTCCCACTCGCTTTATAGGACGCGACGCTTTTTTGCGGACGAAGTCACGTCGCCGAACAAGGCAGGCGACGGACCCGAGATAGTAGTGACGGGTCTCTAAATTCCACAATTTCTTTAAACGTGACGAATATCATGTCGTAAACAGTGAAGATGTATGTCAAACTAGGCAGACTTATTATCTATTTATAAAGACATCATTCCAAAAGGTGTCTTTGAAGAATTTCAAAAGCCGACGTTTAAGTTAAATAAATATATAAAATGCGCGTATCATTATATTATGAAACAACAAAAGATAATGAAAATCGGTAATTACTTGGAACCTCGTTAAAATATTTTCTTAAATGGTAACGTTTGTATTTGTGATATTTTCTTCGTTAAGTTTCCTCAGGAATACACAAGCTTGTATAGTTTACCGATGACTCACTGTTGGTTCTCGCTTTCCCACTATCCGTCAAGTATTGATGAATGAATTCCTTTTGAGCACATTCGTCTCGTTTCTTTGTATTTTACAGAAAAACTCTTGGCAGATACGACAAATTTGGATTTTGTGGGAAAGCTATAATAGGTAAACGCAAAATAATCTCTTGGCTGAACCAGTTATAACTGTTAGAACATTGATGCGATGTTATATGGTTAACTTGGCATAAACTCTAATTGTAAGCGACAAAAGAACATTCAAAAAAAGAAAAGATTGATATCCATCATCGGATTTGAATGTCTATCTGCCAACACCGTTAGCATTTGAAAGGAATAAATTTTTTTTCAAAGAGTACCCGAAAAAGAACACACGGAAAGAATACAGTTTTGCTAAAGCATTTAAAAATTTACCTGGATACACATAGATCTGAAAATAATTTGTTATTAATTATCCATAATTAGATTAATTGCTAGAATATCAAAATTTTTTTTCAGCATTAATTATCATATTACATTATGTGTAAGTTTTCTACATAATATTTTGATAGTTATTTTCAGATCTGTATTTAGTTAAATTTTTAAATACTTTTTCTAATATTTATATATATAATTTATTTTCTAATATTTAAGCAAAATTATTCTTTCTATATATATTTCAATATTTCAAGTTAAATTACTTTTTAATTTTAACTAAATTATTTTTAATAAGACTCTTATATTGTTTAAATTATTTTTTCTTAATCAAAAATTATAAAATTTATGACAATACCATAATTTAATTTTATAATATAAAAGTTGACATTAACTTTCATCCATTATTAAGCGTCACTTTATGTACAACTATTGTTGGTTAATATTTTATATTGTAAAGATTTATTATCGATGAGCGCTAATCTTGCGAAATTTTATCCTGTGATTTTACGGCGACATTTTTTATCTATCATGGAAGTAACAGGTGTTTCTATTTCTCGTTCACCTGTTCGGTTTTGTCGGTGGTGAAAAACTGTTAGCACTACGGTCTTCTCTCTTGTACGTATTGCCTATATTTGTCTACATTTTGAATGTAAGCAGATAGACATCGGCCTACCGTTAATAAATTCTGTTTTACATTGGCCCGAGCCTTTAAGCTTGTTAGCATTGAACAGGCCTGAGCAGGTGACGATTAGCACTCGGTTCGTGGCGTAGTGCTATAATGTAGCCAGTTACGACGTCAAATTATTCCGTCATTTAGACACTGACGGCGACGACTAGACATGTTCGATAAAAGTTAAACGATATTGTGCGAAAAGTTCCCGAAAAAGTTGTGTAGTGCTAATGTAACTCGATTCTTTATTTATTTTCCACAAATGCAGTTTCACATTCAATTATCAAATGATTTGACATTCAGCATAATAATTAAAATTTACAATACGTTATTTTATACTTATTTTAAACAATATCCTTCTCTACATCAATTTTAACTAATTCAATAAAAAATTATTTTAAAAATTTTAGCATATAACGTTGAGATATATACAATAAGAAATTTTTGCAATAACGTGATACGGTGAACGCTAAGGTTAGGTTATCTTTTTTTTAAAAACTAACTTAAGAAAAGAATAACATAACTATAGAGTATCGGGATTCACGTTATTGCAAAAACTCTCTAATATTAGATTATTAATTACGTAACTCGTACTTTTCGGAAATTCTAGTCGATTCGGTTTATTATATCTCTACGGATCTGCCAATTTCCTAAAATTTACTAGACTTTTAAAGTATATTAGTTTACTATTTTTGTCCGTGTACAAGAGAAAGAAAGCAAAGACGTTTCGCTTACCGGGTCTGCAGAGTCGGCTCCAGTGATAAGGGTTGCAGCATATGTATACGGGATCTTTAGCGGAATGACATATAGGTAGTCTCTTGAGCTCCGAGGAGTGCTCGAGATCCGGCCACCGCCAGATCTGGCAACAGAGCAGGTGCGGGTCGCACGGCGCGCCGGTGCTCCTCTCGACCGCTGATCCTCTCATCGGCACGACGGCACCGCTACCGTTTCTCGCCGATCTCATCGGCGACGCGGACGAGGAATCTTCCGACGCGGAGCAGCAGCTCTCCTGGTCGTCCTCGACGGAGGACGAGCGATGATGTCTGTTGGAGCGGTGGTGCCGATACTGACGATAACGGCGCTGATGAAAACGGGTATGATGACGATGCGGCCTGCTGCCGTGATATTGCTGCTGCTCGTGCTGCTGATCGTACGAATAGTCCTCGACCTGACGCGGCACGAGAACGCACGAGCTCAGGTCGGCGCCGTAACTCTCGACGGCGGTCAGCAGCATCTCCAGTTGATTCTCCTTGAGCGACTTGAGGAGTTCCTTGCACCTCAGCAACCGACCGGGATCCTGCTGCTGCTGCTGCTGCTGCTGCTGTTGCTGCTGCTGCTGCTGCTCATCGTCATCCTGACTCGTGTCGCCGCCGCAACAGCCCTGATGCAGCCTGCTGGCCGCGGTGTTGCGTCCCCCGTAGACCACCGCTCCACCTCCTCCTGCCCCCGCGCCGCTCCCCGACAACGTTGGTCCTCGCGCCGTCACCCTGCTCACTTGTCGGCCCGTCGTCGTCGCTTTGTTGTTGTTACTGCCCGTGTTGTCGTAGCCGGCGGCGGCGCCGCTCGCGTTGCTGCTGCTCGTGCGATGAAACGTACGTGACGATGAATCCTCTTGAGCTTCACACTCGGTTTCATGCTCCCCACGGACCTTGGCCTTTAGCAGACGTCTAGTGAGCACCGTCCGTTTGCTCCAGAACATCAACATGAAACAGGATTTGCGGTACGCGCATTTGGTGGCCAGTCCTTTTCAACGTAGCCGCCGTAGGAAAACAATAGGAGACCCCAACGGCCGGGGGGACTGGATCACACACACCCTCACGCGCGCGCACGCGGTCGGTCGCAAGCGCCTGCCGCGACCTTCCTCTTCGAGCACCCTTCTCCGCGAGGTCTCCTTCCTCCTCTTCTTCTTCTTCTTCTCTTCTGCTTCTTCTTCTCCTTTCTTCCCTTCAGCGAGCATCAAATACGCACTGTCAACGGAAAACACCTCTCCGGCGCACAAGAAAAATCACAGACGATGGAGCCCTCGCTCTCTCACATACACACACATACACAACACAGTCGCGACGCTCGCGTGTATACTTATTTGTGCCCGCGCGCACTTTGGATCACGGTCCCGAAATAGTGTGACAGTCCACAACGGAGGGAGGGGGCGGAGCTCCGATTCTTCTCTATCTCTCTCTCTCTTTCTCTCTCTTCTGTCCTCTCGCCGACCGGCTGGCGACCAAGTGTAGCGGCGTGTGCGTTTCTCCGCCGGTGATATTTCCGACTTCCAACGAGCGACGGCGAGGAACGGTCCGCCTTCTCCTCCGGATAAGTTTTTTTGGCCGTGTAAACGAGTTCGGGTCCAACAGCACTGCCGGCTGACCTTGAACTCTCATTTACCTCTCGTCCTCTTCTCTCGTAACTCGCGTACTCCAAAACGGGTCTCTCTCTCTCTCTCTCTCGACGCTTTTCGGCTCACGTGTCCTCGCTCAGATCGTCGACGGACATCTCGCGGTATCCTCGCGGGCAATCTGCACGACGGCCGTGTGCGCGAGCCACTGTCGGCATCGCGGATACCAGTGGACGTCGTCGTCCGACGACGTTATAAGACGCACCACGCGGCACGCACGTACGCGTGTACGCACGCACGCACACAACACCGTCACCGGCGAAGCTTACCACCGACGGACGAGCGCGCTGCTACTGATAGATGGTCGTATACGCTTCTTATCCGTCACATACACGGCAGAGAGAGAGAGGAGAAAGAAGAGACCCAGGCGGAAGGGAGGGGGAAAAGGCGATGTGGTGAGAAGAGGGGTGGAGGGGGGGGGGACGAGAGAGGGTGAGCACGAAACGAATCGGTCGGCGCACGCACGACACCCGGCCTTTACTTTCCTCGGCCGTCGCGTATCGAGGGCGACGCGGTGCCTTAACCTCGCGACCCGGCACACCGACGGGCGGACGTATACGTGTGCGCGCGTGTGTTTGTGTGTAGGTGTACGATATACGTATGCACTTTACGAGAGACGGTACCGCGCGGTGTGTATATCCCGGCGCGACGTCGCGTCGTGAAAAAAAAATCCCTCTTCAGGAGGCGGCCGCCGCGACTCTCGCCAGCTGTTGACGCAGCGACAATAAGCAGCGCGACGACGACGACGACGTTGTCGTCGTGCGGCAGAAGGAGTCCGATTTCGACGATGCCCCCGGCTGCGGAGAAACGCGATAACGTCGTTCCCGGCGACCCGGCGCCCGTGCCGTCGCCAATGCCGGCACCACCACCGCGTCGGCGGCACTACGTAGCGACGATGACGACGACGACGACCGTCGCTGCCACCACCACCACCGCCGCCGCGGCGACACTCTAACAACCTCAGACTCGTGACCGTCGCTCCGTCGATCACTCCCCGTCATCCGTGCGCGCGTATCACCGAGTGACATTTTCCGCTCGCATCGTCCGTCTTTCTTCTCCCTTCTTCTTCTTCTTCTTCTTCTTCTTCTTCTTCTTCTTCTTCTATCTCTTCGTTTCCACGCGCTGCTGTGCTCTTTCACCGTGACACGACGCCGCGACGACGGCTCCCGACATCCATCGCCGCCGTTCCTCCGTCGCTGTCCACTCCTCGCCCGACGCACCACGTCCGTCCAACTGTCCGATCGTGAGGACACGCACTGTCACATTCTTGAAATCGCTGGCCCCCGCGGGAATCGGGATAGAGCGCGGGCAACACTCGCAGAAGCGGTACTTTCGCGGTTTAAAGTATACAGCACGAGAGAGCGAGCGCGCAAACACCGGTGGGGTGGGAGGGAGGGAGGGGGAGGGAGAAAGACCCTCCAGAGAGGAGGGGCAGTGGGAGAAACCGGCGCACACGACGAGACGGGATCTGGCCGTGTAAACTCTCGACGGAGAGGGCGAGAGAGGTCGTACGTATGGCGCCACGGAGAACGGCGCTTCTCCGACGACCAGCGATGTTCGGTGTCCCCTCGCGGTGTTACCGAGTTCGATCCTTTCCACGATTTGACTTTTCGTCCACCGCGTCCTCTTCTCTCGCTTCTTCCTTTTTCTACACGGTTCTATCGCTCTCGCGCGACGAATACCAACGTCGGCGAACGGGACGAACTGTTGCACACGACCGACCGCGGCGCACGCAACTACTCCGAACTCCGACTCGACTAAGCTCGGCAACGCGACTGGCACGCACGAGGTTCTCCGTCACGAGCGCGCGCACCGATCTCCACCGCCACCGGGCCGTCGTCGCCCGCTTCCACACGTCTCTACTCCGCTACTCGACCGATCCTTCCCCTTCTCCACGTCTCACCGCTTCGACGGCTCGTCCCGACTCCGTCCGTTCGTCCTCTCTCGACGTCGCGCCGAACGGCTGATACACCGACCGTAGCGACCGTAGCGTACTAAACACACAAGAGCGAAAGAGATACCGTCAAACATGGCGTCTGCGGTAGCGCTGCTAGCGCTACGGTCACCCGAGTAGCGGCGCTGAGGACTCCGGCCGCGGCGTCTCTCTCGCTTCGGCGCGGCGGCGCCTCACGGAATCGAGGCACGTAGGCCACGCGAATCTCGGCGAAGCGCCGCCAAGCTCTTTCCACTCAAATTCGAATTGGAACTTTTACGGCGTTATGCAAATGCGTGAATCACCTCGCGCGAATCACGTCTGGAATCACTTTTGAAATTTCCTTCGAATATGCTAAATAATTTTACGTCTCTATTTGTTTACATAGTTTTGCGTAAACACGAAATGTAGCTGCTTAGGAATTACGTCGCGATTTATTTACGTGTTTACGTTTCAATGAAAACAGTCGAAACTTTTCTTTGCGTAAGAGATCGAGCAGATTAAGCAATCGTGGATAAACGGGGAGACGTTAAATACATGGAAGAATTTAGGTAGATATACAAATTCAAAAATAATTTTATCAGACCACCAAAATATTTTACAGGTTTTTTTTAGCTGCCTACACTAAGATTTAAAAATTCTTTTCCACAATTAAAATTATGTAAATAATGTACTCCAAACCGGTCGACTTTATGCCAAAAAGTATGAAAAAAGTTGGAAAATTACAATTTTGTTGTCGGTCTCTGGCGTCGATTCGTAATAATATTTGCTTTATATACAAGTTTTGTACTTTGTATAAAACAAACTTGATTTGTATTAGGGATTACGTGAACAAGTGTTGAGTTCTTAGAATTAGGCTCAGATCTTAATATAAAAGATTAGTCATTTAGAAAATTTAGAAAATTTGTGCGTATGTATGCGTGCGACATTGATATAATGATATGTCAATGGCATGTAAATCGTATGTATGGAAGTCCTGTTGAGTCAATAAAACAGATTTTAGGATCCCCTTAATGTTGAGCAACGGTGCAAAAAATTTTGACATTTTAGCAACCAATTTGAGCGTCCTACATAATTATTTTGGTGGTCGAATAAAATAATTATGTAGAATTCTCAGATTGGTAGATGGATAATACTTCAGTAAAGCCGTCCTTTCCGTGTACGAAGCGACGAGAATGTAATGCCATCGGTCGCCGATGAGCAGACTGACGCCGGCGTCTCCGCGCAACGTCGGCGTCTTGTCAGCGCCAGTCGCCGCGCTGCGTTCCACCTCCGGGGTCAACATTCCAGGACGAATTTCAGTCACGATATCGCACGCGAAGGAGATGCCCCACTCACCGGCGAACACAAAGAAACACCGCGCTATATCGAATGACAAAGGAAACGACTGGGAGACGCCGCGGCGCGTCGCGACGCGCCGGCTACGAATTTTTGAAGAACGCGCGTCGTTGCGCGCTGTTTTTCAAGCCGTGACGCAAAGCATCTCTCGCAACGTATGAGAAAAGTAATCGCGGAAACGAAATATCGCTTCGGAAGTTTCCCGTCTCCCCAAGTAATAAAAATGACAGTTACACTTTTCTTTTATGTCCATCTTTACCAATGTAGATTAACTTTAAAATAAAATCGGTTTAATTTACTTTTTATATCTTTTTCTAGTTTTAAGAATCAGCAAAAGATGAAGAATATATTATATGCTGAAATTATAACCCTCGACTACACACTTAGAGAAAAAAGAATTTTTTTATGGTAAATGACAACTGTATAGATGATAATTATGAAACAAACATTACTTACCAAATTCCGTAGATCGCACCGACGACCGCCGCTCATTAATATAGAAGCTTAATCTACAACACAAATTTATTATATATTTTGTTTTATTACCCATGTATTTACATCATTTGTTACAACAATGACACAACTGTGAAAACAAAGTTTTCAGAAAATGAGTCCGAATGTTTTGAGATATTAAAATTTTGAAATATTAATCTTAAAATACAATTTTGAGAATAACTGATTATAGAGGAGAATAAAAGTATGTTCTTTTAAAGTATATTTTTCCCTTTTTTTCTTTTCATTTTTTTCTGCAATCAATTAAATAAATTTTTCAGAATGTCGTTGTTGTAACAAATAATTATTTTTCACTGCCAGCGAAACCTGTACAAGACTTAACTTTCAGAAGTCGACTGCAGTCCAAGCGTGATGGACCTGGGAAAAGTTTCGGCTGCCGAACGACAGATGGAAAGATCGCACTATTTTGTTTATCGTTACATCGGTATCGTTGCCTAATCACTTAATAGCGCGTTGTATATATATATATAAATCTTGCAATTTATGTATGTTACTCGAGAGAGAAATATCGCGACGTGTTTAATTGGGATTGCCGTGTCGACCAATACGAGAACGAGGCCGAATAGTTGTAGGTCGAAATGCTAAAAAAGGATCGCGAATGGCATACCATTCGATTCACGTAGAACCGAAAGGATCGTCGCTCATAAATTTTCTAATTTTAGAAACTCGTTTCGCACGATCCCGTGAACGTAATTTTGTAATAGGCCGCGTATAGCTTTCGCCTCGCCGGCGACGGCTTTATAGTTACGGGAGTCTGTAATTTCGTTTTTCTAATGATCAAAACGCCCCCGTCGTAACGTAGCGTGACACGTCGGGCTCCTTCTCGAAGTGTCATTATGTTTCTTCCGATATTTCAATGGCCATATTTCGAAGCTGCCCAGTAGCGATGTTTAGAAAAATGAGATTGTGTCAAACCTGTATTAAAATTGGAATTCTTGAGCGAACATAAAGTGTTCCTGCCCAACATATATATATATATATATACACTCGACCGATTGAAGGTCGGCAATTCAACGGAAGTCGCGATTTATACATAATAAAAATAGAAATAACGAAGCCATTTATGACGTTCCAATTTGATATGTCGGCTACCTTAAAAACATGAGGTTAGATATTCTCGTCGCATAATTTGCACTTTGCACGAGATCTCGTGAGTCACAAAAAATTAACTAGAAACTATGATTCGATGAATTTCCTTAAAATGTTGGTAATGAATGCGACAGAAGAGAGATGGTATGAAATGGTTCGTAGAACAGATTATTTCAGACAGACAAACAAATAATAATGCGGCATTATGTGGGATTGATTAATTAAAAATTAGAGGATATATGTATAAAAAGGAAAGTGTGTATAAATATATATATAAAGAAATAAAAATATATACATATGTAAAAAAAAATATATCGCTCATTTGTTACAATAACGACACAATTAAAAACTCATTTTTTAGTTGTTTTCAGAAAAAGAATAGTAACATAAAGAAAAAAAAGTGTAAAAAGAAGACATTTTAGATTAAAATTGCGTTTCAAAATTGATTTTAATACATGGAATATTGAAATTAATTAGTACTCAGAATATTGAAATTAATTTCTGAGCAATTTTGTTTTTTGTGTTATATCGTTGTAACGACATGGTAATATATGTACATATATATGTACATATAATCATATATTTTCTTTTTAGCTTTATTCGACTACGACGGAACGAATCGCGGTGAGCAGTGACAGAAATCACATTTGCCAGGCTCCGACGCGAACCTGTCGCTACTAACCCTCTCTATCTCTCTTTCGCAACGAGTCGCGACGTGGGTCTAGACGCGTTATTTCACCCGTCGGAGTCCGCTCCAAAATGATATAGAATTTAGGAAGTTATTTAGTTATGTATGTCTGGCGTCCTGCGTTGGCTAGTAATCAGACGCCTGGCCTCCGCACGAACGCAATCTCTCTCCTTCTCTGTCTTTCATCTCTCTTCGTCTTTACCTCTTCCTTCGTTCCACATCTCTTGTGCTCTCGTTCCTCGCCCGGAGAGTAAATTCCCCTCGCTCTCCCTTCTGGCTGGTAAAGCTCTTTTAGTAAACTCTTCAGGGCCGTCTGCGTTTCTCGGTGCCTGGATGTCTCGGCCCAATTAAATGTCGATCAAGGCGGCCCTTATAGCCCAAGGTATACGGTCGTTGGGAACAAAAAGTATTCGTTTAGCTCGAACGGTAAGAAAGAAACAGGGAACAAGAGAGGAGGAGGAGGAGGACAGGGTGAAGAGTGTCCATATATCCATAACGAGATGCACGAATTATTCCGACTCTAGAATACAAGGCGTCTCTTCAGTAATTCTGTATTTACTTTGGCAAATAGATTTTGCGGAAGTAAGAAAAACAAATGAAGGCCTTCTTTGAGCAGATGTCGTAATTTTGAATGATTATCTTATGCACGCACACATTCCAAAAGTTTTATTTTTATAAAGTAAAAGTAGATTTTTAATTAAGCAATGCAGCATCGCAATTTGCAAGCGAAAGATGAAGCGTATAACTTTTCAAGAGCAGGAATATTTTTTCATGTAGAGGATGTTTGTCGTTATAATTATTATCCAACGGTACGATCATGAGTACTGCGAGCCACCGTAAGATTTAAGCCTGGACGCAAAACAGCCTAGGATCGCGCGCGCGATCGTACTTTTATTTCGTTCTATTTCCAAACGCGAAAATTACTTGCATGCTCGCCACTCCGCGGGACATGGCGCCATTCTTGACATATCGCACCGATGGCACCGCCGGATGGATGACCGTTGTGCTATGCATCAGACGAAACGTTGATGTAATATGTCTCGTCGTCAAAATATTCCACTTGAATGAAAGAATTAACTTTCGAAATATAAACCGTAAACTCCTAAAATCCTCCTTAATAATTATTATTAAGTTTGAGATAATATTTCGATATTTGACGAATATCAGATAGTTTTATGATTATTTTAATTACATTCAGCAGAAAACGCAGCTTTTCAACTGTTGTAAAATCTTTACAAAATTCTTTATATAATTAGTTTATACATTTAGATCCGGTGAGGAACTAAGGGCAAGACTAATCATATTAAAGAATT